TTCAATTGTCGCAATGCAATTGATAATGAGTTTGATTTGTTTTATTAGAAAACTAACCATGATATTTATTTTGTTTGGTATACAACATATTATACTATGGGCTGCTTGGATTCACTATGCATTCAACATTATGGTCTATCAAACTGTCTACTATTTTATAATAACCTATTATTTGAAATTTAAATTGCAATTAATTAACCAAAAAAATCAGTAAACTATTGAATAAATCTAATTATAATCAAATAAATGTTTCAATTGTTCGTATTATACATCAATTAAAGGCCGTTTACAATGAGATACACTACTATAATGTTAAATATTGGTCCAAATTTTTGGGTATAATATGGCTTACACTTAAGTACACTAATTGCTATAGTATTTTATATAGTATTTTTTTCTAATAATTATAATTCAATTGTAAGATATGTATTCTGTTTTTATGTTACTAATGATATTTATACACTAATATTTATATTACGAATATCTAATGCTGTATATCATGAGACTATTATTACATATAAACTATTGAATTCATTTGTAGCAATCAAACCAAAACTACCGCTTGTATTGAAAAATAAGGTATAATTTTTTATTTTATTTTTTATATAAATATATAACTTATATCTTAATAGGAAATATGAAAAAATAATAATAATTTATAGATATATGAATCATTGTGTCGTTTATCTAAACATAAAATTGGATTTTATTGTTGGAAACTATTTATCGTTAATAGCTTTAGCGGATATGAGGTTAAGTTAAATAAATTATATTAATACTTTTTAAAAATATATATAATATTAATAATTGTATTTATATTTATTTAAATTTTTTTTATTAATTTAGATTGTCTCAATGATATGTGTATTATTTTTAAAAGTTTATCAGTAAATTTGGTTTGTCATTGATTAATTATAATTATTAAAAATAACAAGATATTTTTTTACATTTATTAAAATTAATAATATTGAAATTATTTTTTTCTATAATAATAATAATTTTTTAGATGATTAAATTGATACAGCTCACTTTTTAATATATTGTATATATATATATATATATATATATATTGTAAATAATATTATATCGACATAAATTAATATACACCTGAATGCAAAACTATGATTACACCATCAAATAATTCACTGTTATATTTATGAAAATTTTTTATTATTAAAATAAATATGATAATAATTTAAAAAATAAAAAATTATTTTTTAACTTTTTGCGATCTTTTTAATAATTTTCTAATGTTGTTTTAGTTAGTTTAATTTTTTTTTAATTCAAATTTAAAATTGTTGAAAACTTTTAAAAATTATCGCTCATTTGAATAATTATAATTATGCAAAAAAATTATTTCATATAATAATCATTAATAATATATTTGAATTATAATTTTTTTAGATAATATTTATTATGACTTAATTCCTAAAAATTATTAAAACAATAATTTGGTTAATAATAATAATATAAACTTTAATAATAATAATAATATTATAAAATTAAAACACAAAATACTATTTTTATATTATTTTCTAATAAAAAGTCATTTTTATGTTTCATAAATTAAGAAAATAATAGTAAAATAAATTATATTTATTTATCAGTAATACAAATATAACAATTTGCATTTATTTAAATTAATAATAATGAAATTAATTTTTTCTATAATAATAATACTCATTTATAATAAATTTATTGTAGTAATCATAATTAAATATTAATTATTAACAATTTTAGAGTATATGAGGTAAATATTAGAAATATTTTTTTAATTAAATAATTATTATTTTTACAAAATATTAATTATTTATTTTATTGAATTATTTATAGATCATATCGATAATATGTATTTTATTATTATAATAATATTTGAATAAAAATCATTTGTAATGTAAAATATTAATTAATACAAACATTTTATTTATTAATTTTTAACTAAAATTTGTTATCATTTATAGTTTCAATATTTTAGTTACTTTAAAAAATTGTTTTTAAAAAAGTACTGTATATTTAATAAAACATCGATAATAATTATTTTTGTTTTCAATATATTATTGCATTATTATTAATAATAATGATTTATTATAAGTTTGCAAATAATATTCAAAATATAATACAATAAAAAATTTACATAATTAAATATACTGTTTAATTAATAATTATATTACGTTACACATAATAATTAAGTTTAGCTGAATTGTAAATATTATTATAAATATTCACAATATAAATATTTAAAAAAAATATATTAAACAACTAAATAATTTAAATAAATAAAAAAAATATTTTAGTTGAACTACTAATTGATAATTTTTGTATTTATACATTATATATTTTTTTATCATTGAATAATTAAGTTAAGAAAAATGCAGTAAAATTAATAATAATAATAATAAAATAATATTAATAACAATAATAATAGCAGTTAGATTATGATAAAATTACAGTGCAATTTATATGGTATGTAATGCTATTAAAATAATTAATATGTATATTCATTGTGAGTTAATATATATATATATATATTAATTTATTGATATTAAAAAATTAATTTGTTAAAAAAATTAATTAAGGATTAAATCTTAATTTAAAAGATTAAAATTAATTCAATGTGTGTGTGTGTGTGTGTGTGTCATACAGTATTATAGTTTAATAAATATGTAATTTTTTGTGTAAATGATTTAAATAAATAAAATAAAATTTTAAGCTATTGAAGAAACAATGTTTCAATTTATATGCAATTCACTATTGATTGTAAGTTAGAAAAATATTTTTAATGTTTTTTGTACTTTATTTTGKTGATGAAAAAATTAACCTCATATTTATTAGTAATTTTTTGTTTGTAATAAATGTGAATCTAATATAATTATTATATTAATTATAAATTTTTAATTAGGATCTCAATCAAACCTGGAATACAGAATCACCTAAACTAAGCTCATGTATGATTCAAACAGTATTTGTATGGTTACCGGCATTCATACTGTGGTTATGTATACCGTATCTGATATGGGATTGTATTAAATCATCGAAAAAATCAATTCAATGGAATTACTATAATATCAGCCGTTTATTGATAGCCATTGTCTGTACTGGCGTTACATTAGTTGATTGTATACTATGTTTGTGTCGGAGATATCAATGGGACGACAACCCGACCACCGCTCATATATTGGCAACAATTATACAATTTATTACAAGACTAGCTCTTTGTATAGTTTTCTACTGTCACCGCAAATATGGTATTCACAGTAGTGGTTATGTTTGGCTATACCTATTGTTGGACACTGTTTTCGGTGCCCTATCGGTGGCCACATATGCCACACAACAAGACATCCGTCGAAACTATGAATTCATATTATATTGTATTGAGTTTTCATTGACAGTTGTTTTACTAGTATTTTGTTTATTTGCCGACCGATTGCCACAAAATAATGTTAATAATCAATCGATAACTGTTGATATATGTCCCGAAAATGGGGCCTCATTTACATCAAAACTGACATTTCATTGGTTAAACAGTTTTATCATAAAACTTTTGAGACAACAGTCGACAATAAATGTTAACAATTTATGGACTGTCAGTCCATACGATAGTAGTTTATATAATTATCAATTGTTTGCTAAACATTGGACAACTAATGTAGACAATGATAATAACAATAATAATAACAATAATAATAACAATAATAATAACAATAATAATAAATTTATTAATATATTATCCAATTTAGGATTGTTTAAAAAATATGAACAACAAAAATATCAAATAAATAATGTTGGTAATAAAATTGTTCCAGCACAAAATTTGCTCTGGGTCCTATTCAAAACATACGGTTTAGGCTATATATTAGCTAGCTCATTGCTTATTGTGGCCGGTATTATACGGGTAATGCAACCAATTGTTATCAGGTATTGTTATTATTATTATTATTGCTACTAATTAAAACTAATAAAAAATTGGTATAATTTAATTATTAAACTTTAAATAATTATTTTTTGCATTTTATAAAGTTGAGAAACATATAGATTAAATAATGTAAAATTAATTATAATTAAAAATTAACATTTCAAGATCAATGATTGGGTTTACCCAAAACATGGATGAACCCCAATGGCACGGGTATGTCTATGCGCTGGTATTGGTTGCCATTAATTATTTTTATACATTGGTCTATGGTTTCTACTATCCATGGTCAACCGTTTTAGGTAATTATAACAATAAAAATATAATGTATAACAAACTATCTTAAAATAATTGTTTAAATATAATAATAAAACCATTATTTTTATAAAATATATTTTTTTAACAAACAAAAGGACAGCGAATCCGGTCGTGTCTGACATCAGCCGTATATCGCAAGTCATTAGTTGTCGACAATAATGACGGCAATAGTGTTGTCACTAACGGCGAAATTATTAGCTTAATAGCCATCGATTGTAGCCGTTTTGCCGGTATATTCAAAATTAAATTATTTTTAACCAAAAAAAAATAAATATTTATTTATTTAAAAAAAATAATTCCACCTAGATGATCTACACATGGTCATATTTGCATTCATGTCGCCCATACAAATAGCAGTCATACTATACCAGTTTTACACTGATTTAGGTGTGTCCTCGTTAACCGGTTTGGCCATTATTATCCTACTGTTCCTGATGTGTGCCATTGTATCGAAATATGCCAAACAATTTATTGGCAAACAAATGTCAATCAAAGATCAACGACTAAACATTACTAACGATATATTGAATGGCATTAAAGTGACAAAAGTATTGAATAATAATTTTTATAATTTAATAATAATAATAAAAAAATAGTATAAATATTTGACAATCAATTTTTTTAGTTATACGGCTGGGAGGAGGCGTTTCATAAAATAATAGTTAACTTACGTTTGAATGAAATCAGTCAATTGCGTTGGTCTACACTATTGAACGTATCGTATTTGACAATAGCCTCGTGTGCGCCCTATTTGATAATGTTTGTCACATTTATGGTATATCTAATGGCCAACACTGATGATGATAATGATGTCCATCGATTGAATGCCCAAAAATTGTTTGTACCCCTAGCTCTGGTACAGTTTCTCAGAGGTTTGATGATTATGTTTCCCCAGGGAGTCAACTCATTCATATGGGTATATATTTTATATATTTATTTAACAGTATAATTTATGAGTATGAATTATATATCTACAGTATATATATATAACAGTTCTACTACTTTAATAATTTGCCTTAAAAATCAATGATTGTTATAAATTGAAAATTATATAGTTTATATATATATTTAGAAAATATCCATTAATAGAAACATTAATTGACCGCAAAAATAGATGTATTGAAAAAACTCTAAACTATTGATTGGAAACAAATCATAGCAATAGATACCAATTGTCGGACCCGACAGACGCTCCACATATATAAGCAATTTTAGGCGCATTTGTATGGATAGTGTCGATGTGTTGACAAATAACTGTTTAGTAGTTTCAGTGGTAAATGAGCCGATTTGGAGATCCATGTGTTCATTATATTTGTTAATAATATGTTTGAACAGCAAAATAATACTAAAATTATAAATAATATTTTCGTATAGATTGTCGACTGTCGATGAAATGTAGCGTAAAATGATAATAAAATACTAGGGGTTACGATATAATAAAGACAAAATGTAATCAAACAAAACGTTTTATTTATTTTTTCAATATCTTCTGCAAAACTATTGTGACTATTAATAGTATTAATTAGTTTCTTAGGAAAAACTATTTGCCATTTGTTTGATTTAAGCAAAATTAAATTCATTTCATGATATAGTTTACAAAAATATTGTTTCGCATAATTGCCAATTGAATACCAAAAAGTAACACCAATGAAAGCAATTGAATGTTGTTTTAATATTGCCATAAAACGTATGAACAATGATATCGTAAACTTAATGATCCAAACATAGGATGAATTTGTATCAAAATCATCAATTAGTGCCAATTTATAGGCATATATAACCGTAACAATTGAAGACAATATTGTTAACAATATCATTGGCGATACAATATAATTGATAATAATATTGCCATTAAATGCCCACTTTTTCATAAAGTTTTTTGTTAATCGATGTTCATATATATTGTATTTAATTTTATGAAATATTTTAATCACATGAAATGTATGATTTATCTCCTGATAATTGATTACAAATCCAACACAAAATACAGTCAATGAATAGATAGCCGACAAACAAGATATTAGTATTGATTCAGACAATTGATATGTCGGGTCACCCAACAGATCCCGAATCCATAGCTTATAATTTAAATAATTAAATAAATATGTAGTTATGACTATATTTTATATATGATATAATTAATAAATATTTTATATTTACTTTATTTACAATAGATGTTAGACTATATCGCAAACAATTAGCCAATTGTATTGATTGTGTTATGAATACCATTACTAACTGACATTTACTCCACTGTTGTCTCAATACATAGCTATCTCTGCTTTCATTTAAAAATATAAAATATCTGTAAAAAGCATTTATCTGTCGGTCAACATATAATTGGATATTATAATTGTTATCATTTAAAACAATTATTGATTTAAATTTAGATTTAATAGTATTCAACATTCTCTAAAATTTAGTTATTAAATAATATAAATTATTATAGATTATTATACTATTTATTTAGCTTTTATATTGCTTTAATTTAAATTAATTTACTATTGAATGTTGTGTTAAAATAAGAAAAATTTGAGATAAAGTAATAATTAATAAAATTTAGTTTATTTAATAAAAATATTCAATATGTAATTAATAATATATGTGAGGATTTTATTTTATTTTATATTATATAGGAAATTATATTTTTTAGGTTTTTTTAAATAATAATATTGAAAAAGTAATTATTAGTATATTTTAAGTTTTTATTGAGATATTGAATAAAAATAATAAATAATATATAGTTGTATTTTCATTAAAAATAATTATTTAAACAAACCTAAAATATATAATTAATTATTTTTTCAATATATATTATAAACATTAATATATTGATTAATGATTGCTTTTTCGATAATTAATTTCTATTCAATAATAATGATATATAATAATAATAATAATAATAATTTTAATACTATTTAGTCTATTAAAATACAGTATATTATTGGCATTGACTTGTAAGTAGACTATATAAAGTACAGTATAAGATGTTTATATACTGTTTTAAAAAAATTTATCATTATAAAAAAAATAACAGAAAAATATATGATAAACAATTTTAAATCAAAAAACTAAATCGTTGTTTTCTATAAATAAAAACAATTACGATATTAAAGTATAATTTTATTATAATAGTTTAATATATATATATATATATAATATAGTATAGTATAATATAGTATAGTATAGTATAATATATATATATATATATATATATATATATATATATATATATATATATATATATATATATAGTATTTTCTAATTAATACATGCAATACAATAGCTATAGATATGGGGATCCCATAGTATAACAATAAAGTTAAATTTCTATAGAAATTTATTCCTGAGAAATTTTCTAGAAATTTTCTATTTGACGATCTCTAGTATCTATTGCTATGATTTGTTTCCAATCAATAGTTTGCTGTATTTTAACTAAAACTATTTATTTATTTTAAATTAATATATATATATATCTACTAAATTTATTATTATTATATAATTAATATTCTATATGAATGTATTAATAAACTGTTTAAATATATATATAGATTATGATTGCAATCAAACGGTTAGAAAATTTTTTAAATCTCAACGATAAATATGATTATGTTTGTCATATTGACAATAACATCAGTAATGCTGATCATCAGTATATGGTTAGTGTAACAAACGGTCGGTTCAGTTGGGAAACGTCATCACCACTACCAGCACTAGTATCCAAAAATACTGAACCAAATACTAGCACTTGTATGTCCTTTACATTGGATAATATTAACTTGAAAATCAGTGACAAACAATTTGTTGCAATTGTCGGTAATGTAGGCTCAGGTAAATCATCACTACTGTCCGCACTGTTTGGCGAAATGCAACTATTATCCGGGAAAGTTAGCATAGGTAGAGGAAATGCTAGTAAAATAGCGTACGTTCCCCAACAGGCATGGATACAGAATGCATCGCTCAAAGACAATATACTATTCGGCAAACCATTGGATACCGATCTCTATGATCGAGTCGTAAGCGGCTGTTCACTGGAACAGGATCTCAGACAACTGTCCGCCGGAGATCAGACAGAGATCGGCGATAATGGTATCAATTTGAGCGGCGGTCAGAAACAGAGAGTCAGTTTGGCCAGAGCTGTGTATTCCGATGCCGACCTATATCTAATGGATGACCCACTAAGTGCCGGTATATGATTATTTAATACCATAATTATACTGATATTATATATTAAAGTTTATACTGTTTTTGTTATAAAGTGGACAGTCATGTGGGCAAACATCTAATGCAAGAAGTGTTAGATTCAAGGACTGGTTTATTGAGGAATAAAACCCGAATTCTGGTAACAAATCAACTCTTTGTGTTACCAAATGTTGATCTGATTGTTGTCTTAAATGACGGCAATATTACAGCAATCGGTTCATATGATTATCTAATGAATGATAACAAAGAGTTTTCCGATTTAGTCAAACAATATTCAGTTAACAATGAAAATAATAATAATAATAATAATACTTATGATTATAATGAAGACATTTGTATTATTACTGATAACAGTATTAGTAGTAATAATAATAAGGATAATAAAAATTTAAAAAAAATTAATAATAATAATAAAAAACTTGAAAGTAATGTAAATAAAAATAAACGTCTAATTAATGATGAATATATAGAGAGGGGTAATGTTAACTATACGGTTAGTATTTAATTTGTTTTTCAAATAGTAATAATAATAAATCTATTATTTTTATATTTGATAACAGTATTAAAAAAATTGTTTATAAAATGTTTTTATTAGCAAAAAAAACTATTGAAATATTTTTTTAATTATTTAATTAGGTTTATATAAAATACGCCAAACAAATGTCGATAATGTTGTTGACGCTGACGATTGTATTTTTTGTCATCTCATCAGTCGTTACCATTGGTATCAACTTTTGGCTTAAGACATGGAGTCAACAACAACAACATAGTACTAACGGTGTTCACCACACAAACGGCTATTATCTGGCAATTTTGGCCGCACTGATCATCGGTCAGTTACTGACACTGTTTGTCGGTCGGTTTGCACTGGTTATCGGTTCACTGTTTGCGTCGACCCGAATGCACGATAGGTTGTTGTGGTCTGTTATGCGATCGCCGATGAAGTTCTTCGACACCACACCATTGGGTCGTATAGTCAACCGATTTAGTAAAGACATCGACACTATGGATACGGTTACTGTATTTATGTTGGGGTTAGTTATCAATCAAATGTCAAATGGTATATAAAATATTGACTATACTATTGTTGGAACTACCGGTGCATATAATTTATTAATAACTGATTTATCTATATTTTTAAAAAACAGTTATGTTTTAGATCTATGGTTGCTAACCCTGTCCAGTATTATTATCACATCGATTGTTACACCATTGTTTGTAATACCAGTAATTATATTGATTATCATATATTATATATTTCAGGTATTTAAAATATTTGTGTAAACAATTTATACAATAAAATAAACATAAAATAAGATTATTTATTTTTAAAAAATTAAAATATTTTTTTTTTGTAATATATCTATTTTAGCATTTTTATACAAAATTATCATGTCAACTAAAACGGTAATTTTTTTTTGTATAACTTTATTAATACTCTAAATAATTGAATTAATTTTTTTTGTTGAAATTTTTAAAAATTTATTAATAGCTTAGAGTCAACCACTCGATCGCCAATAATTGCCTGTTTCAGTGAAACACTAAACGGTTTGTCCAGTATTAGAGCGTATGGATGTAGTCAACGATTTATTGGACACATGGAGTCACTGGTCGATAGTAACCAACGGTGTCAGTATCCCAACGTATTGGCAAACAGTTGGCTACAAATCCGGTTGGATTTTGTGTCGTGTGTAGTGATATTTTTTGCCGCACTATTCATAATATTAGACCGCCAGTCGTTGACCAGTGCCGACACCGGTATGTCACTGTCCAACGTAATCAATCTGTCCTATGTAATCGGCAAACTGGTCCAATTGTCCACTCAATTAGAGAACAGTATGATATCGTTTGAACGCATTGAAGAGTACTGTCAACTCAAATCAGAACCCGACTTGACTAGTGGTCAACAATTACCAGACAACTGGCCCAACGATGGATGTGTTGAGTTCAGACAGTATAGTACCCGATATAGAGAGGGATTGGATTTAGTATTAAATCAAATTGATTTGGACATCAAATCTGGCGAAAAGGTATAATCAATATATAAAACTTATTAATAATATTATTACTAAACTATTGAAATAAAGATCGGAATCGTTGGCCGAACCGGTGCGGGAAAATCGTCGTTAATGTTGGCACTGTTTCGACTGATTGAGTCGGTGTCCGGAAAAATAGTTATCGATGGCATCGATATCAGTCAACTGGGTCTCCAACAGTTAAGATCACGACTAACAATCCTACCGCAAGACCCGGTACTCTATACGGGAACTATTCGTTCAAATCTGGATCCGTTTGACAAGTGTTCCGACGATGACTTGTGGTCAGTGTTAGAGCACTCGCATCTCAAGTCGTTTGTCAAGTCATGCGATGCGGGACTTGGCTATCGAGTCACTGAGGGAGGAGATAACTTGAGTGTCGGTCAGCGGCAACTCATATGTCTGGCCCGGGCTTTACTACGCAACACACGTGTGCTTATCCTCGACGAGGCCACGGCTGCGGTAGACGTCGAGACCGATGCACTTATACAGCAAACAATTAGACAACACTTCAAGTCATGTACTGTACTAACAATAGCTCACAGACTCAACACAATTATGGATTCAGACCGTGTGTTAGTGTTGAATGAGGGACGGGTAGCTGAGTTTGATTCGCCTAATAATTTGCTAAATAATGAGACAACTATTTTCTATTCCCTGGCCAAAGATGCGGCAATTATTTAAAATTATTATTATAATCAATTAAAATTCAATAATATAACATTATATAAAATTTTTTAATAGTTTTTTTTAATTAGAAATGTAAAGTATATTTTTTTTGATAACAAACATCAAATAAAAGTCAAGTAATTTAGTAAAATTATAAATAATTTTAAATAATTAGTTTATTTAACATTTTATTTATTTTGTTAAGTATATAATGAATACATAACACTTGTCAGGCAAACATTATCAAAAAAAACTAATTAATAAAAATATCAATTATTGAGATATTAGTTAACTAAATAAAATCTTATGGGAACAGGAGATAAAATGCATAGATAACTAAATTATTATTAAAAAATGGATATTTAAATTAATCTGTATTTAAAACAAAAAACTAATAAACCATTTAACTAATAAAACAACATATTTATTACATTTATTTAAATTGTATTATAAAAAATTAAAAAAAAACATCGTTATTTATTTTTGATATTAATATTTGTTTTTATTTTTTTAAAAACTATTTATCGTAATTAACTTTATAAATTTAGAATATATATATATATATATATATATATTTACTGTATATTTATTAGAAATTTTTTGTTATTACTTAAGATACATCTAATTTGTTTTTAACTATAAAGTAGTATTAATTAGTAAACCATTAGTTATTATTTTATAAAAAATAATTAATTAACAGTTTATTATTTAGTATTTAATTATAATAATTATAATAGTAATTAATTATTTAGTTAGTTATTTTTGTATATATATTTTTTCTAAATGAGTACATTTAGCAACCCTAGGTTTGAACTAAACAATTATTAATATCCTATTAAAACTATAATTAAAAATTGAATTAAATAAATTATTGCGCTAAAAAAATAAATTTTTAATTAATGCTGTATAATTATGTAATCAATTAGTTACAAATTTGAAATAATAAATAGTATATACTTTATGTTTATATATATATAACAACTTAAAAAATGACATATGTTGTTTTAAAACAACTAATTGGTTTTCAAATAAAATAAATAAATAAAAAACTAAATAAAAAAAAATGAAATCTTCAATTAGTATTGTTATTCAATTAGTATTATTATTATTAATAATATTATTATTATTATCGGTAATGATATTGGATTTGACTAATAATTATAATTATAATAATAATAATAATATAGATATCGTTGATCTGTATAAACAATATAAGGAAAATTTATTTGACAATCAAGACTACATTGAAATGGCTGACAAACTCGAGCACCGGCCTAACTATCGTTTTATTTATGCTAAATATCGATGCGGTAGCAATTGGTTACTATATATTGTCCAATTGATATTGTCTGGGGCAACAAACACCCGTCCTGTTAACGATATTGATTATATAATGGAAATAAATGGCCGCCAAGTACTGGGGGCTACACATAGAAAAATGTTAGGACGACAGTCCGTACGGATCGATAATACCAGTGCTTCAGACAACACTAGTAATAATAATAGTAATAATAATATGACTAAAGAGGAGGAAGTGGTAGTATTTAAACGTTTTCAATCTATCGACACATTGACAACGGATTCAAAGGCCCGATATCTACTGTTAATGCGTAATCCAAAAGATGTATTAATTGCTTATTATGTTTTAAAATTGAAAACATTGAAACTAAGACACCCGGAGCTCAATATTGCCGAAACCGATGACTATAAACTGTTTGGTCGATTGCTTGACTATTGGCTATCGGATGAATTTGAACGAAAATGGGGTTATTTTGCTTACTATAGACATTATTGGCAGTACAGGCATCTAATGATTCCTAACTTTTATGTCCTAACCTACGAAACTATGAAACGCCAGCCGCGGACAGCCATCGAAACGATAGCCAAATTTTTGGGCCATACTTATCATAAACAACTGAATCAAGTGTTGAATACTATGACCGGTGAGACACTATTGGATCGTATTGAACGACTGTCTACTATAAACATAATGAAACCGATATTTGATAGACAAGACAATAGAAAAGTAAGGAAAGGTATGATCGGTGACTGGAGAACATACCTGACTAGAGAACAGAGCGATGCTATTGACCGTAGAATAGCCAGAGAATGGTCGGGAACGGGACTCGAGTTTTTATGGGAACAGGAGATGAAATGGATAGACAAATAAAATTAATTATAATTTAAAATTGAAATTTTTAGATTTTTAACTAAATATAATAAATTTTTTTATAAATTAATTAATTTAATAAAATTAGTTGTTTTATTATTAAGTCAAACTTTAAAACAAACTAAATTGTTTTATTTTATTTATTTTTTTTGCTAACATAATAAAACATGTAATACTAGTATTAATAGATACAATTATTGTTTATTTTATAAACACCTTGTTTAAATTTATTTTTTTATATATAATACTAGTTATACAGTTAAATTTTAAAAAATTAAATAAAAATTGTTAATTTTGATCAGCAATTTAATAATAAAATTAATTTTTTTGTTGTCGTTTAAAACTAATTTACTTTTATAACTAATAGAGAATAAAAAAAACTAATAAAAACTAAATGTTATAATTTTTAAATAAAATAAGTAAAAATGATTGTTAAAAGTTAATATTAATAGTATTAATATAATGTTGTATAAAATAAATATTAAAATAATTAAAATAATAAATAAATAGTTTATATATTTAGAAAATATCCATTAATAAAAACATTAATTGACCGCAAAAATAGATGTATTGAAAAAACTCTAAACTATTGATTGGAAACAAATCATAGCAATAGATACCAATTGTCGGACCCGACAGACGCTCCACATATATAAGCAATTTTAGGCGCATTTGTATGGATAGTGTCGGATGTGTTGACAAATAACTGTTTAGTAGTTTSAGTGGTAAATGAGCCGATTTRGAGATCCATGTGTTCAWTATATTTRTTAATAATATATTTATATAACAAGWAAATARTAAAAATATAAATAMTATTTYCRCTAMWATTGTWGACTCTTTATGAAATGTAGCGTAAAATGATAATAGCATAGCAGGGGTTACAATATAAWAGATTATAAATATTATCAAACGAAATGTTTTATTAAATTTTTCAATATCTTCTACAAAACTATTGTGACTATTAATAGTATTAATTAGTTTTTTAGGAAAAATTATTTGCCATTTGTTTGATTTAAGCAAAATTAAATGTAATTCATGGTATAGTTTATATAAATATTGTTTTGCATAACTGGCAATTGAATACCAAAAAGTAACGCCAATGAAGGCAATTGAATGTAGTTTYAATGTTGCCATAAAATGTATGAACACTGATATCGTAAACCTAATAATCCAATAATAGGATGAATTTGTATCAAAATCATCAATTARTGCCAATATATATGCAAATATAAACGCAAAAATAGCAAAAAATATTGTTAACCATATCATTGGCGATACTATATAATTGATAATAATATTGCCATTAAATGCCCACCTTTTCATATCGTCATTTGATAATTGATGTCTATATATATTGTATTTAATTTTATGAAATACATTAATCATATGCATTGTATGATTTAGTTCCTGATAATTGATAATAAATTCAATACAAAATACAGTAAATGAATAGATAGCYAACAAACARGATATTAWTGTTGATTCCGAYCCTTKATATGTYGGKTCACCCAATAGATCCCGAATCCATAACTTATAATTTTTTATTAAAAAAATAATTAAATAAATAGTTTTAAAAGATTAATAAATATACTAGATTTAAAATTAAWTACATAAATAAATTATATTTACTTTATTAACAATAGTTGTTAGACTAAATCGCAAACAATCAGCCAATAGTATAGMCTGTGTTATGAATAYCATTACTAACTGACGTTTACTCCACTGTTGTCTCAATACATAGCTATCAGTGCTTTCACTTAAAAATATAAAATATCTGTAAAAAGCTTTTATCTGTCGGTCAACATATAGTTGGATATTATAATTGYTATCATTTAAAACAATTAATGATTTAAATTTAGATTTAATAGTATTCATCATTTTTGTAAAAAAATCAGTTATAAAATAATATAAATTATTAAACACTATTAACCAAATTATTTAATTTAAATTATTATTTTATYATTTAATTATAGGATAAATATTATAACAGTATATAAATGTCATATACTTTCTATAGTCTACTCATTAATGAGAAAAATATAATAATAATCTAAATCTAATTATTAAATAATATTAGAATATTGTTGTAATGAATTTATTTTAATAAAGTTATTGAAAAAGTAATTATCAATCAATAAATAATTTTTTGTTTTCTACTTAATGTCAGTAATAAAAATATAGATATAAAATAATAGAAATTTTTAAGATTATTATAATAACAGAAAAGTTTATGAATAATTATTTTATAAAATTCAAAAATGTTGTTAATTTAATCAAAATATTGAAAAAGTAATTAATGTCTTTATCTGAATTTATTTTATATTTATATTATAATAGAATTATTATAATATTTAAATTATAATATTATTTATAATAATTAAATTATTTTTTAATTAATTTTGTTTTGATAATAAAATAATATTTTTTTATATACATTCTATTATAAYTTATAAATAATAACAGATTAAAATTATTTTTTTTAATTATTTAATATAGCTTGATTTTTTATATTAGTTATTTGTGATTATATAATATATAAAATATCTGTAAAAAGCAGTTATCTGTCGGATATTTTAATTGTTATTATTTACAGCAAATAATGATTWAAAWTTTTWTTTAATAGTATTCAACATTTTTCTAATTAAGATATAAAACAATATAATTTATTAAWTAGTATTAATTAAATAATAATATACTAAACGAATTATTACTGTTATAAAAATTTTCATAATTTGTTTTATAATAAACTTAACATTATTAGTTATATTTATAAATTATTAAAATTTAAGTTAATAAAAGTTAAACTAATATAAATTATTAAATAGTAATTAATCTAATTATTTAGTTATTTATCATTGAATTATTGAAATAATAGAAAAKTTTATAAATAATATATTTTAATAATATTTAAAAAAAATTATGTTAATTTAATAAAAATATTGGAAAAGTAATTAATTATATGTTTTAGGTTTTAAATAWAAATATTTTTGAAATTATTTTATATTAATTATAAAATAATATTATTTATAATAATAAAAATTATATTTAATAAATTATTTTTATTGTCAAGTTTTTTTTGATAATAAAATATTATTTTTATTATATACATTCWACTTGWTTTAGTTTTGTTTTTTATTTTTCTAATAAATATTCAGTTATATAAATAAAGTTTTAAAAATGTTTAATATTTTTCATCCGAAATCTAATAATAAAATTTAATTATATTGAATCAAACTATTTAACTTAAATTACATTAGATAATATATATTTTTATTTATTTATTAAAACAATTGTTAGTAAAAAACTATTTTTATAATGATTTTTCAATAGTCCTACAAAATGTATGAACACTGATATCGTAAGCCTAATGATCTAAACATAGTATGGATTTGTATCGAAATTATCAATTAATATTAATATATATACAAATATAAACGTTATAATTGATAATAATATTGCCATTAAATACCTATTTTTTCATAACTACATTAGATAATTGATGTCTATATATATATATATATATATATATATATTAATTATATTTAATTATATAAAATACATTAATTATATGCATTCTATGATTTAGTTTCTGATAATTGATGAAATATCCAATACAATTACCAATTACTACAGTATTACTAATTATTAATATAAAATTGAATAACTAGGCTAAAAATAATATTTTTTTTTTAATATGTGATTAGTTATAGACAAATGTATTTTCAAGATTTATAAAAAAAATAATTTTTTGTATTTATAATTTTATATTTAAATAAAACCCATTAACAAAAACATTAATTGACCGCAAAAATAGATGTATTGAAAAAACTCTAAACTATTGATTGGAAACAAATCATAGCAATAGATACCAATTGTCGGACCCGACAGACGCTCCACATATATAAGCAATTTTAGGCGCATTTGTATGGATAGTGTCGGATGTTTTGCCAAATAACTATTTAGTAGTTTCAGTGGTAAATGAGCCGATTTGGAGATCCATGTGTTCAATATATTTGTTGATAATATGGTTATACAAACAAATAATACTAAAATTATAAATATAATTTTCGTATATATAGTCGACTGTCGATGAAATGTAGTGTAAAGTGTTAATAGCATAGCAGGGGTTACGATATAATAAAGACAAAATGTAATCAAACAAAACGTTTTATTTATTTTGTCAATATCTTCTACAAATCTATTGTGACTATTAATAGTATTTATAAGTTTTATTGGATAAACTATTTGCCATTTGTTTGAGTTAAGCAAAATTAAATGTAAATTATTGTATAGTTTATTGAAATAGTGTTTCGCATAATTGCCAATTGAATACCAAAAAGTAACACCAATGAAGACAATTGAATGTTGACTCAATATTGCAATAAAATGTATGAACAATGATATTGTAAACCTAATGATCCAAACATTGGATGAATTTGTATCAAAATCATCAATTAATGCCAATTTATAGGCATATATAAACGTAATAATTTGAGGCAATATTGTTAGCCATAACGATATAATATAATTGATAAAAATATTGCCATTAAATGCCCATTTTTTCATAAAATCTTCATTTAATCGATGTTCATATATATTGTATTTAATTTTATGAAATATTTCAATCACATGCAGTGTATGATTTAGCTCCTGATAATTGATGACAACTCCAACACAAAATACAGTCAATGAATAGATAGCCGCCAAACAAGATATTAGTATTGATTCAGACAATTGATATGTCGGGTCACCCAACAGATCCCGAATCCATAGCTTATAATTTAAATAATCAAATAAATATATAGTTATGACTATATTTTATATATGATATAATTAATAAATTTATTATATTTACTTTATTAACAATAGATGTTAGACTAWATCGCAAACAATTAGCCAATTGTATTGATTGTGTTATGAATACCATTACTAACTGACGTTTACTCCACTGTTGTCTCAATACATAGCTATCAGTGCTTTCGTTTAAAAATATAAAATAT